AAGGTAGCTACCATAGCCTTTACTACTCAATAGAAAAGCCCCTGAAATTCTTCCAAACTGGAGCTTTGCTTGAGGTAGGTGTAGTCTTCTTCCGTAGAGTTACTAATATTTGCATGAGTGTTTTCTTGAGAAGAAATAAGGCAGCCTTTGAACAGTACTGCCTAGGTGCCTGTTTTTTCATTAGCATTTACAGAGTGATTTGAAGGTAAACATAAGAAATATGCCTCGCACAAATGCTGAATTTTTCCTTTCAGCAAGAGGTGAGGGAGCTTACTGTCTGCTACTTAGCGTGGAGAGCAGAGCTAAATATTAAACTTAATCTTTGAAATACAGATATCGAATCTTAAGCTCTTGCGATAGAACTAAATGTGTTTCTGAATTGCTTCATTTGAAATGTTAGTGATTTGAATTTTTCTTTTTGTTCTAGATTCTGCACTGTGCATTTGGTAAGCTTGCAAATTTTCAGTTTTATTATTTTTATAGAAGACTGCAGTTCTAGCAATAAATTAACATTAAAAATGTTATGGTCTGTGAATTGCCAGATTAAATTCTTGCATAACTCACTGATTTTTGATTCAAGTACATTCCAGTGTTTTACTAAATAATTTGACAAGTCAAATCACAAAAAGGAAAATAGTGTAATAGGTTTTCAATTACTTGACATTCTATTTTTATCTAGATCTTTCCAATGCTACAAATCTTAGGGTGGTTTATGTTTTATAATAGATTACTTCCCACCTATACATCCTATAACCTTCTGTACCAAGCTATCTTTCCTCAAGGAAAATTTTTGTAGCTGGAAGTACTTTAAATTCCAATTAAAATAACATTTCAAGCCCTAGAACTTTGCCCACATCCATAGAGCATAGGTAGGCATTGTAAAATTAGGAAGGGGTAACCCTCTTTATCCCAGATTCAGCTGTGCTTTAATGGAACTGTTTGGGAGAGTAAGAATTACTTAAGACTTGACAATTCTGGTTAGCCTGTACTGTGGGGCTTGTTTCGTAGCTTGGTAGCAGGGATTCAGTTGTGTATACGTGGCCTGGGGTCAGTAGCAGTGTCACGGTTCAGGCAACCTGAACAGTCTCACATCTGAGCAACAGGACTGCATCTTGTCTGGTTTGTTAGTCGTTGTGAGTAGTGAACAGTTTGGCCTCAGTATTTGGATGTTCTGTCCACAGAACAGATGATCTGACCCAATCTCTGCAAGATCAAAGCCAGTGTGCTATAAAGGGGAGCAGTGCCTGTCAGCCTACCTTTGCTTAACTGATTTTTCCAAACAATCCAGTCTTCACAAAGAGACAGTCATATGTTCAGGTAGTTGATCTTGTGATTTTAAATATAAGTGTTTGAGCTCCTATCTGAATGTTTGCTAGCTACTATTTAAAGAATAAGATGGCATTAAGGTTCCTAAAGCTTCAGCTACAAATCTGCTATTGTTCATGTATCATACAAACAGTCTACATACTGGAGGGTGTATCACTATGGTACAAGTAAGTTCGTATTGAATTCCTGTGCAAAAGATACTTTTTTTTCTTGAATAACCAAACGTGGTAGTTGGAAAATTTAAGGTTATATACATAAATTTGTCAGCAGAGGGCAGTCTAATTCTGTATTTGATAAACTAGTTCTGCCCTTCCTGAATAATTCAGTTACTCTGGAAAAGTTACCTTATAAAGGGCAGTTTGTAGACTCTGCACAGATCATCCCAAGAAATAAATGTTCATATATTCCTCAAATTAATGTAAAGGCTTCTCAGAGTAAACTATATGTATCATATAGTTACCTGTGCTGCCAAGGCAGTCCTTCGAATACTGTTTTATTTTACTAAATCTCAATTACTGTTTTTTACTAGAATAAACTATACTTTAAAAAAAGTCAAAAAATAATAATAAAGTGTGGAATTTTTGAAGTCTTATTTACAAGTGGCAAGAATGACAAATTCTCAGAACACTGGGCAAAAAAAAGTTTGCAAATAAAAGGCTGTTTTACTATCCTAAATCTATAATACTCTGCTGTTTTCTTAAGCTAGACTTATGTACAGATGCCAATGTTTACTAGTACTAAATCTAAGAGTGTAAAAAATTTAACTGGATTATCTTTTTCTCACACTTTAGAGAGTATATATCAGCAAAATATATATAGCAGGATATATATATCCTGATACATATATCTATATAGCATATAGATATAAAATATATATAGCAGAATAGCAGGAGAGAGTCCTGTGTTTCACCTTCCAGGCTGGTGCAGAACAGCAAACAACTGTACCAGCCTGCCTGTGTGCAAAGCTAATAATCCTGACTCGGCTGATTTGAGCTATGCATCCATTTAGCCCATGCTATCCTCAGTCACACAGTTTAATATTAGTGGAGAGAGCCATTAGTGGAATGTTGCAACATTTTATACTATTATAACTCTTTTTGCTTTCCCTAACAATGTTTTCTTACAAAAAACCCACTTATTTTATAACTGCCCATGCTGTGGGGTTTTTTTTATTTTCTATTAATTGCAGCATTTGTTAGCTAAATAAAATGAGGGGGTTTTTTTGCACAGCTGGATACACTGCTGCTGTCTGCTGTAGTCCTACTGACTCTGGTAAAAGTTTCTATGCAAGGAGAAACAGGAAATTTGCAGATTCCTTTGTCCCTGCTAAACTAATTGCTATAACTAGAGCTGTAATTCTCTGTCAGTAGAGGAGCTTCTCTGTGACAGATGGCTGTGTGTATCAGCATAACTTTTCTCTCCACATCTTTTCAGTAGAATCTGAAATGTTAGCATCTGTCAGGCAAGTTCTTCAAAATACGAAGATTGATAGGGGAATGTCTCTAGCAAGCATGGTTGAGAGCAGAGCTTTGGCATGTAGCAAAGAGTTTAAAAGTGAAGTAGGAGAGCTCTATGTGAAGAGGAGGTAACGTGTAGCCCAGAGACCAAGAGGAGAGACTGAAGGCCAGGCAAATGGAAAGTGACCGTGGCATTCCTTGACTTGTGAGGCAGACAGAATCCCAAGCGTTTGAATGGCATTGATAACATGGAAGAGCTTCTGCCTGGAGGAACTTGGTAGGGTAAGAGGTGATAAGAGCCATCAAAATGAAGAAGCAATAGTAGTACAGGGAGTTTGTGGAGGGAATGGAGAAGAAAAGCAAGAAGGCTTTGGTGAACACAGGCCCAGCCTGCAGAATCACTATGGTACCAGTCTTCTGCCCACAGCAGTGCTTACCAGTAACCCTCTGGAAAGCCGAAGTCAGCACTGGTTGACTTTGCTTTAGCATGCTCAGTTAGGAGGCATACAAGCCTGTAGGCTGTGTGTGCAGCCTGTTCTCAGTCGGGAGCTCCCTGGGAAAGAGGAAGCACTTGTTGGGAGTTGGAGGATTTCCTGCTGGAGGTGGGAGGCTTAGCTCAGGATTTGGAAGAAGCCTGGGCATGGCTTACTTGCTACTTGGTTCTGGACCTGAGCCCCCTGTCAAGCACTGCTCTAGCATGTGCAGTGTTGGGTAAGTGGTGACCAATGTTTTAAAAATGCCAAGTTTAAAATTGTCTGTTGGGTACCTTTTTGAGTGCAGTGAGTAAATAATTAGAGGCAAGTAAAGTTTACATAAATTGTAGCTGGCGAGTCATGGAATCATAGTCGCTTATTTTGATCTCCTGGTTTTGGCATAGATTGGCATTGTCTTGGCTGTAATGAAAAGCCTTGTTTGTCTTACTTGTGAGAAAATCTTGGATTGTTCCTACACAGTCTTTTTGGCTTATTTATAGATTCTTTTGCAAGAACATTAGTTTATCTTGCTTAGGAAGGGATGATCTACATTGTATAAAAGAAAAGGTCTGTTGTGTTGTAGGAGTGAGCCTTTAATGAGTACAGATTGTAGGATTTTATAGCACCCCCCTTTGTGTTGTCTGAGTAACAATAATTCTGCCCTGAGGTTTTATACCAGAAATTAGATCATGAACAATATATGATAAAACTGAAGAGAACTGTGTTTGTAGGATTTTTTTCCTCTTTTTTTTTTTCTTTTTTCTCTGAAAGGAGACTAACATAATGACTGTATGACTGAAAATAATTCTAATGAAACTTGGTTTTGGCTTTTCCTATTCTTTCTTCCTCTTCCACTTTCTAATTTGGTCCTTACGTCTTTCTGAGGCTGTTGTGTTGCTTGCTGTGATTTGCGTTAGTTTCAGAAGCACTTTTTACTGTGTATTAGGAGCTGCAACTGCTCTTGCATTTGTCCTCCTCATGTTATTGGAAGAAAATAAAACTTTCTGCTGTGAAACTTACAAATTTTGTGTAATCTTGCAGGCTAAAACTATTGCTGCTCTGTCAGACCTGGGTGTGTAGTATCCTTTTAGTGGCAGTTTAATCAGCACCTCGGAAGTTGCTTAGAACCAGTGAAATATGCTTCCTTGAGAAAAACTTAAATTGTTTCTGTACCTGTTTCTGCATCAGCTACTCCTTGGGTTTGATTTTGGTTTTTTAAAAAGTTGTATTCCTGGGAAAGCATTATAATCTTTGTATCTAGCGTATGGGCTAGATCAGTGTTTCTTCAAAGTAGTTACACTTTTTGCTTGCTGTTTTGGGGGATATACTGTGCAAAGTATCTTTATTGGTTTTAGTTTTTAAACCACAGTAATGAAGAGTATCTTGGATATTTTAATCAAACAGGGTTTATTTGAAAAACTGTATCCCGAAAGGTATTTGATTGACATTATCTCACCTTACTCAACTATTTTCTGTATTAAGGAATGTGCTGTGATTGCAACAGGATTGATTACTTTCATTTGCATTTTGATGCACAAAGTCTTCTCAGGGGATTGCATTGTATTAGACAGTATAAACACACCACAGGACAGACTTGATGCTCTCAAACTAAAAAAAATAAATGCTTTCCTTCCAAAAATTTCAAATAACTGGACTTTGGCTTAGCTGTGTTTATTTCCCCACCCCTACCTCCCACCCCGATAGTTAGGAATATTTACTAATTGCAAAATATCTTCCAGGCATTGTTCCCTCTTCTGTTGTTCTGACTGCTTTCCAAGTGATGTCAAGGGTTTTCCTGACGTGGGCAGTAACACATAGTGTAAAAGAGGTAAGTTAAGCTACAAAACAGATAGATAAACTAATGACCCATGGTGAAAAGCAAGTGTTGATTGCTGTCTTATTTCCCTTAAAATGATTTCTGTTTGTATCCCAATGTGGTATTTTTTATGTGAATTTCTGTGGATCAAAAGAAATAAAAATAAATCTGACATCATCTTTTCTTGACAATCAAATAGACTGAGGTCTGATGTAAGACATTTAGCTCCTGAATAGATTTTGCAGTCCTTACTGAAAGTGAAAGAGGTTCCAGTGTGTAATATGGAACCCAGAATTTGGGACAGCATTGTAGTACCGATCTCACTAGTGCCATAATTAATAGCAAAATCTCCTCGCTGCCCCCTCTTTCATACACAATTTGCTTCCTTTACCATGGCATGTGGAAGCTCCCCCTCAGCTGTTTGTGCACAGCAACGCCTGGATGTTCTCTATTATCGCTTTCCAGGATAATCTTCTCTCTGTCCTTCGTTCATTTTCCTTACATTCAAGCATAGGTGGGTTTGGGGGCCTGCATGTTTTTTTCTTACTCCTTACCACACCAGATATTGCTGTAATTCATACAAATCTCTGCAGAATCTTTTGGAAGCAATCTTACTGGAAAATTATTCCTGCCAGTTATTTTAAAATCTAAACATGCTTTAATTGATATGAATCATGACTCATGTCATCTGAATACCCTGTAGCAGCCCAGATATGCCACATCTGTCCTGTTACTTTAACCAACCAATCTTACTGGTTTTCTTCTCGTTAAAGAAAGAAATTAGTCTTGACGCCAGTGTCAGCATGGCTGCCTGAAAGAAGTGGTGGTCATCTAGTGTCATTATATGCATAAGATCTTTTGTGACTTGGCATGGAGAATGCCTTAAGGAGCTTGTCTCATTACCAAGTCTTCAGGGAAGGTGCCTGCTCTTCTTTGCTCCCAGAAGTAGCTCCTGTTATCAGAGCATCCGTCCACATGTAGAGTAACACAGGTCACTGTAGTTCCTAATAACTAACAGCCCTTTCTGGTATTATGATGCTTGTTCACGTGGAGCCTTAGTTTCATGCTATTTAAAGTGGAGGAATGTTACCTTTCTCAGTAAACTCAAAATCTTGTAAAATCTTCTGTATAGATTTCACTTTTGGTGCAAATAAATGTACTCCAGTCTCTGTTAATTCACTGGAGATAAATACTAGATTTTGAACAAAAAAAACCCCAAACCCGTAATCCCCAAACATTAGATTTTGGATAAATGTATAAAATATTTTTAAAGAAATATGCCTGTAGTTCTGCTTGTTACCTGTACAATGTTGGGGTACCTGGTGCTTCATAAAGAACAGAGATAATCTGTATTTATTAATTGCTTCCTGGTTTTGAAGTAACCTAAATGTTAAAGATTGGATTGCATGGATTAGGTTTATTCCATGTGTTGTCTGTTAGACATCAAAAGGAAGTCTGTAAAATGATTGTGGGTTAGTCTTTTTGAAACTTATGCCCACATTCTCACCAGAGAAAACCAGCAAATGGGAGAAAACGGAAGCAACAAGTTCAGCCTAACATTCAATTTTTAACAAGGATATTTTTTTAAGAGGAATCTTTCAACAATATTACACACAGTTTTTTCCTCACGTTTGTGTGGTCTTTTGGTTAAAGTCTTGCAAGAGACTGTATTATGTGTTACTTTTTTTAATGTCTTAGAAAGTGGGCATAAGAATGGTAAGGATGAGGAATCCTGTGATGAGTTTTTCACTTGTGACTTAGAGCAAATAAATCAAATGAAGAGGCTGTATTCTGACCCCTCCCCTTCCCCCCAACCAGAGAGCATGCAGTCTCACCTGGGGAGATGTACTGAAAGTGTCACGAGTGTTCTACTTTTTCTAAAGGCTGACTGCACAAGTGAGCTCCATGGTGAAGTCCAGGATTAAATTCTCACACAGCTTTATGGAACTTGTAAGCTACGCAGTTGCATGATGAGGTTCTTGTAAAATAAAATGCAGTTTTCCTCTTTAACTTTTTGAGTGAGACTTGTTCAGTATCTTGCTTTTCCAGACTGTTTTCATATATGATATAGTTAAAAGAAGAAACATCTGTATTGCATCCCTCCTTTCTGTCAGAATACACTTTTAGATATGTGATGTGATTTGAAGCATGCTTCTTGCCACTAACATGTTTGTGCTTTTTGTTGAATTTAGTGCTGATGTGTTGTTAAATTCAATATGAAAGTACTTACAGTAAATGTTAAAGCATGGCAAATGTTAAAGCACTGCACACTTCTTTGGATAGCAATGAGATTCCCCTTACCTCCATCATTTGAGTAGATGTTAGCTTAGTGGAGGAGGGCCTGGCATGTAATGCAGTACTTGTAATTGTTTTGTCATTACATCGGAAAGGGATCGGTTTGGTGAATTTTACTGTTTCTCCTACAAAGGAGGGAAGAGAATAAGCTGACTGGTGTGAAGGGCTAGAAGAAAGTAGGCATAGGAGAACAGAAAGTGCTCTTCAGTTCAAAGTGTCTTCTTGAATTTGTGTGAACAATGATATCATCTGGTGACATCATGGCAGGCCTTCACAGAGTTCTGTTCTGATAGATTAATTCACACCCAGTTCTGATGGGTAATTAAAAACTAGTGTCAGCAGTGATTTCATGCTTATCCAATTGGGTGCAGTTACAGCTAAGTTGCTGATAAGTATAGTATATATTTAGAGGAATCTTTCTAGAACAGACAGTCAAAAGGGGTAGTGTGAAGATGACATGTACAGCATATTGAGCTGGTAATTAAGACTCCAGTATCTGCAGTTGTGAATTGACATCTTCAGTCAGTAATAAAGTATACTTACAGAGGGAAGAGCATCTTAATTTTAATATTTAAGACTAAGTTGCAGTAAAAGAAGTCCATGCTGGAAAGTTCAGAACTCTAAATGGGTCAGTGCAGTTGAAAATCCTGATTCATCACTGCTTTACATCTATGTAAATGTTGAGTAATACTTTATAACACAAATGTCTGTCAGGCCCTTTGTGCCTACTGTGAAGCTTCCTTTTTTTTTTTTTTTTTTTTTTTTAAATTGATGTACCAGAGAACCAGTGCTCTGGAGGGAGACATGCTGTTTCATCATTACAGTTGCACTGTGCTGCTGGTTTTACTCTTCTGCACTGGATTGCTTTATTATGCGTTTAGCTGATTTTTTTTCTGCAAATAATTTGTCAAACTGTTACTCTTAACGTGGAGAAATCTATAAAATTTCCCTTTTCGTGCATAAGGAGGACAATAAAAACCTCTCGGGCTTTATTTTGTCAATTCCCAGTTCTCATCTTTGCATTTTAAAAGGCTATGGATTCTCTTCTGTTTTAACAAACAATGTCTGCCATTCATAATACTGAAGATAAGCCAAGATATATTCAGGACCCTCCTTAATGATAAACTGGTTTGAAACACATGCAAAAAATTATGCCAATGATATGATTGACCCTTGTTAAGGCAGTTGGACAAATAAGTTGTAAATAAAGTGTTAAATATGCTTTGACTTTGTCTAACACCTCCTTCAAAGCCTGGCATGAAAAATTAAAGGAAGAGAAATTGAGTTCTGAGGGCAGCATTGGGCTTAGTGGTTTATTAAGGGTCTACTGTTTATTGGCTGTACTATTCCCCTTATCTTCAAATTGGAGGAGGAACAATACAAATGCAGCATTAGCAGTGCCTAAATGAATAAGACTCGAGAGACTGTTTTGTAAATCAGTTCCCAGGGGGTTGATAACATGCATCTTGGATATCTTTATTTCAAGTACTGAAAAATTGACAGTCCTCAAAGAGGTGTTCTAATAATGACAGACTTGTGATGTATCTGTTAGTGTGTAAGAAACATACTTTTTAATGATGACCTGTGGAATATAGTTAAAATATGATGATAAAATGCACAGTAGTCTCCTGTTCCTTACTGCACAGAATGGAACTATTTGAAAACTATATAGGTTGCTTTTGTATGAAAACTACCACCAATTTCCAGTATTCTTTCTTCCTTAAATAGGGACGCAAGATCTAAAGGCACAATCAGTGATTCTTTGTTAAGTGACCTTACCAGGGTTGTGTGCGTGTGCTTTATAACAGTGTGAAGTATTCTAATAACTTGTAAAACACAGTTCTAATATTAAAGTCGATGGGAAAGACGAGACCTGAGGAGGCAGTGTTGCACAAGTCCTGTGATAGAGCTGGATTGTGACTGCTAGATTTTCTACTTCTACATGTATTGTTCATTGTTAGCATCACAATTTCTTGTCCTTGCTCGTGTCCATGGGTGCTACTTCAAGCTACAGGTTTTTGATTGTTGGTTTTACTGACTTCCACCCTGTGATGCATAGGTTTAGATGAACTCACTACGCTGCTACTCCTGATTTGACCAGAAGATGCAGCTCTGGAGTGCTTGTGAAGCATGTTGCTCCTTGGGAACAGCATCATCTGTGAAGTGCTGTTAATTTTTCCAGGTTGAGAACTAAGTCTTGCTTGTAAAGCAGACCCCAAGCAAGATTAGGATCCTGTAGCAGTGTAAAAATAGATTTGGTCCCTTCTCTGAAAATCTTCAAGTAACTTTTGGATTTTGTTCTTTTATGATGATGTAAGGGAGATTAATATATAAGCAAATTATCAGAGTTTCATGTGGAAAAAGGACAAGGTGCATTTGCTGTAAAATGCAATGAAAGTGACTTGAAATGCTATACGCAGCAGAACATAGATTAACAGCAGCCCTGTGTTCCAGGATATCCCAAGATTTCTGTATAAATCCTTCTGTGTTTTGTAGTCCATATCAGAAAACTTTTTATGGGTAATCCTCATGAGCATTTTTACACACAAATATATGATCAGTCCCCTCCTATTAAAAGCTTTCTGATTGCCCATATATTTTCTTGTTCTTTTTTGTTTGTACATGTACTTTGCCCAAGATGAATAGCGTGTACCACACACACCTACTGACTTCCTTTTCCCTTTTTTCAAGAGTTGGAGGAAAAAAAGCAAATGCAGGCCCCTGTGGTTGAGCTCTTTTTGTTCCCACGGTCCACTGAATTTGGGCTTAAGGTACTCATACAGCTGAGAATTCTGCTGAAGGAGAGGGAGGGCTGCATAAAAGTAACGTTTGCGCTCTCAACAATTTGTAGCATGTGTCCATGACCCCATATACTTCTTCATCAGTGTTATTCCATTTGAAACTTAAACCTCATAATTATGTTCCCAATCTAGTAAATCTAATAATTAATTTTAAAATACATGCTTTTGAAGATTAACCTTCAAAATATGAAGGGCTTAAAAGCTGGTTCTGTGATGTGTGTCTGAAATAAAAGCTCTAAGAGGTGTAAAGCAGTGAAACATAATGCCTGGAGTGTAATGTTAAGAGGAACTATGGTGGATACAATAAGCAGAAAAAGGAGCAGGGAACAGTGAGGCAGGTAGTTGTCAAGCTTACCTGAGGTGAGAAAATCTGAGCTGCTGTTTCTTCTCTCCTCCCAACCTATGTCCTGGTGTTAGCTGTTTTGCTGCTGCTCAAAATTAGGAACCAGTTTCTCATCTGTGGAGAGGGGAAAACAGTGCTTCTACTCAGAAGTAGCATGTACTAGGATCAGAATATAAAGTCTAAACCACATATTGAGTGTTAGACTAATGTGTTAGCATCCTTTCTGCTTGCTGCGCTAGGAAGCAATCATAGGACTGAAATAGAAGCTGGTACTGTATAGGAATGGGAGCAGTTATAAGTTTTCAGCATTTCAGGTGTTTCTTGTACTAATTTACTTTGCATAGAATGGGAGATACTAAGTTCTCTGATCACCAAGCAGAGCTGTTCTTAAGCAACTAAAAAAATATGGAGCATGATAAGGGTTTTCTACTGCTGTTACTAATGTTGCTTTTAGGCTCATTCTTGGGGTCTGTTCTCTAAAATGATGCAATAAAGCAACCCGTGGGAATTGATTTCTTTGAGGTTTTCTTGGGTCTGGTGAGTAATGCATTATGCTTGAAGTCAAATTGAGCATTTTTTCTTTGTTATAGGTACAAACTGAAGATAGTGTCCTGTTGTTTGTGGTGGCCTGGACAATCACGGAGATAATCCGCTATTCTTTTTATACATTTAGCTTGTTAAACCATCTCCCTTATCTCATCAAATGGGCCAGGTGGGTGACGTAATAGAAACTGTAGCCTTAAAGCACTGATATGACAGGGATATTTATCTTGTAAAATAGTTGCAGTACAAAAATTTACATTCTACCCTGAGGGAATTGCCCTGTTTGTGAATGTGACTTCCTAGCTTCTTTCCAGCAGATTTCTGGGTTAAAAAAAATGTATTACATTGTAAGCTGAAAGAGTAGTTTGTCACAACTCAGTCCCATTTACAAAGTGTTTGTGTTTATCAGAAACTGGCATTTAACAGTAAGGGGTAACAGTAAGTAAATTTACATTTAACAGTAACCCTTGAATCCAACGGTTGTACTTGCAACAGTCTGTAAGCTCACTGGCTAATATCAACTGCGCTTGACCCCATTTTAAGTAATATAATGACCTCTACCAAAGAGTTCAGAAGTGAAAGTAACGGGGCAGGAGAATAGTTTTAAAGATAGTTTTCAGATTCTCAGAGGTAACCTTTAAATAATTCAAACTGATTTCTGATTTGAATACTTAGCTTGCAATAATGTTCATACCTTGCCATGCTCTAATCAAATAAGAGCTAAGGGAAATGAATACTGAGTTGAGAATTTAAAATTTGAATATCCCTAATAGCATTTAACAAGTACTTTGTCAGAGTTTGTCTTAACTTTTAATCCTTTCCATAAATGTTTTGTTCTAGGTACACTTTGTTTATAGTACTATATCCAATGGGAGTCTCAGGCGAATTGCTCACCATATATGCTGCATTACCCTTCGTCAGGCAGTCTGGCTTGTATTCCATTAGTTTACCTAACAAGTACAATTTTTCTTTTGACTACTATACATTCCTGATCCTGGTTATGATCTCTTACATTCCAAGTAAGTATGAGTTTTATAGGTTTTTATTTTTAAATATTAAAATCTGTAACAGGAAAAGCTAATAATTGTGGGATTAACATATATATATAACTAATTTTGCAAAATTAATTTTGACAATTATCTAAAGGAAAAAGTCAGTTAAAAACGCAGAGATTGCTTTCTACCAAGACCTGCAAAACAGTAATACGTGTTTTTTCTCTTACACTTGGAATATTAAATAACTGTGGTACTTCTTGGGAAATGTTGACATCATCATAATTTTTTTCCCCCTATGTACAGGCTTTAAGGAGAACGAAGTTCAAAACAGCTTCTAAAAATTTAGTTCTTTATCAGGAATAAGAACATGGCTTTTGCATTAGTGGGTAGGGAACCATTTCTATTGAATTAACTTGAATTGACATAATCTCCAGTTAATATTACTGTAGATAGAATGAAGATTTGGCTTTGCTGCTTTGAAATGGGGAATAGGAACACAAAAGCCTTTAGCAAATTTAAACATGCAAATAAAGTGTAACATGCAGAATAATGCAGTGATGATGCTGCTGCTGTTGGCTATCTCTGCAGCTGTCTTTGTATGAACCTTGTTGTTTGTGCAGAATGATAAACCATATTCAAAGATGTACATTTCAGTAGTGTGGCTGTCTGAAACAAGCATTTATACTTTCAGTGAACCATCATGTAATTCTGACATCAGGGTTCATAAGTTTTTACAGCTGCTGTTAAAAAAAAAAAAAAACACCACCACTTTTCATGTATCTGTTTCTCCTTGTCCCCCTCCTCCAAAAATGGTGATGTTACTAACTCCAAGCAGCCAGAATAATATCTTTTGTTTTAGTCAAAATAACCATGAGTATGAATTGCTGCTTGTGCGGTAGCTAAATCACAGTTGATGGGCCATGTGGGAGAGAACCCACGTAACAATTTTAGCCTGCTTTCTCCATTAAAATTGCTGTCTTTTAAATGAGGTATTTTCTGTGTTCCATTATAATTTGCTGGATGCCTAACTTGAATGCAGTTTTTTGGGTTTTGGGGGAGGTTTTTGTTTTTGTATTTTTTTTTTAATTATTACTGTGAATTGGCACATTAACTCTGAGAACCAACTGCTTGGACTCAAACGGTCTTGGGTGCCTTTTCACATGAAGGTGTTCCTGTGGTATTCCTGAGATACAAGAAAAGCAATGTTCATTGCAGTCATTGATTGCACCATAGTTCGGTTGTTCATTCATAAAAGCTACCTATGCAGGATTTACACCTTCTGAATCCGCTGAAGATCTTGGAAATTTTGAGAATGTTAGTATCACAAGGAAAGCAAGCTTTGAAAACTGTTGGTAAAAATTGGATTTTTACATTCTTGATAGTTGCATCTTACCATTTACCTCACTTTAAATCTCTTAATTTAGTACTTGTCTGTCAACGTTGACATCATGCTAGAAGAGATGTCATTAAATCCTTTGCATGTAACGGATCCCCATTACTTATACTTCTAGTGGAGAAACCATGTGGCTCTGTGTTCTGTTAGTTTCTGGACAGCTGTATTCACTCCTTAACACAGGTGGGGTGGATCAGGGTAGCGGGGAAACAATCAGGAAATGAAATACAGGGCAAAGAAAACCAAAAGAAAAAATGTTGACCTGAAAAAAAAATCTAGTACACAAATTAAATAGACTTTGACCTGTGTTTACAACGAACACTTTGCATGTGTAACTGATGTAATTTAGGCTGATGCTGACCTTGTTTAATTTTCATATGGTTCACAAAGGTTTAGTGTCTCATGACAATTTTAGCTTTTGCTGTTTATGTATGTATGCTTTCCATTTCCTACTCTCTTGTTCTGTAAACATACTGTGTAATGTAGGCTTAGAAAGAGGAGAAAAAGCTTTGCATGGAGCATAAAGAGAGAAGAGATGAAAGAGGCACCAGTTTGTGTAAAGTTCTTTAGATCCTGAAAAAGTGACACTAGAAATGTAAGACATGAAACAAATCTGGAAATTTCATTCTTTCAGAAGGACGACTTCTTCCCTGCGATATATTTTCTTTCTGTTGTGTCTGTGCAGTTCAGGAAATTTTTGTCATCCTGCTTGTACCCGCAGAGTTAAATAAGGCATTTTGCATTTAATTAAAAAAGTGATTGCAAAAAATAAATAGTACCTGAAGCCCAAGGACAGTATCACTTATTCTCTTCAAAGAATAAAAGGTAATAGATGACTTGAGTGGAAAGCGGATAAGCATGTTTTCATTTAATAGAGAATTGGTGACCTTGAGTATGTGACTGTGCATCTTGCATTGACATGTAAGCCTCACTTCATACTTTATTTACTTAAGTCTGTTTTCTCTTCAGTCTTTCCTCAGCTGTATTTTCATATGCTACATCAGAGGCGAAAGGTACTCTCCCACACTGAAGAACACAAGAAGTCAGAGTAAATCCAACTTTTTCAGAACTTTACAAACATCAAAATGCTGCAGATTTTTCAATACCCAGCACATTTATAAAGAATGTACCAGGATAAAATAAGTCAGAGGTAAAAGACCAATAATTTAGCAAAAATAACCAATAAATCTCATTTCACTGAAATTTCACAATGTAAAGCATTGAAATAATTTTCAGCTTGCAGTGCTTCAGAAAACTTTTAAACTTTATATGGCTTGGCAGTTAGCCTTTTCCTTTTCCTTAAATGATGTGCTAAATGGTTTTCATTTATTACTAAATGCCTGAAGGTTGCAGTATGAGTGATGAAGTTGTACCCACTAAATGCTTGAATTGGGATTATATTACTGATACCTCTTTTTTTTTAAGTGCTTGACTGCATGCCCGAAACTGTATGTATTGCTGTGAAAGCAAACAATATGCTCTGGAATACTTCAGGATTTTGTCAGAGACTCCAGTGGACAATGTAATCCGGGCAAAGTGTTTGAATGTAGGAAGGTAGGTTGCATATTTAAAAGGTGATGGGAACAAGAACAGGAAACCAGTTATGGGAAATGAGGGGAATGTGGTTCTTTAGGAATTTAGAACAGTAGGGTGTCTGACCAGACTCTGTTCTCTGAAGATCTTGTTTAAGCTGATTACTCAAATGCTAATGTTAATTCAGAGGCTATAATGCTTATCTGAAACGTTAAAACTCCTTAAGGTACTGCATCCCTGGATACCTTTTTAAATATCTTAAAAAAAATTATACCAACTGTAATATTTCTAATGATATCAGTAATGAATCTAAACAATACAAGGAGACAGGTCACCCAGAAACAGGTGCAGTTCTCTCTTTTTTTACTTTAAATTATCATCTCTACTCACTTTCCACTATCTCAGTGGTACTCATCTTTCAGTGTTGAGGACTATTTGGTCTACTGTGAAATCATTTGAGGGCCTTGTTCCTCAACCTAACTTTTCTCAAGTGACTAATGTGTATCACACTGGCACATCCAAGCAGGCAGTTCCAGGCGCTTGGCTTCTGAAATGTTGCAAAGTCATAAGCTCCTTCTTTGAAAGCAGATTATCTCATGTGTTACATGCTGCTTTTGCAGATTGGACAAGCCTCCCCTCATCCACCGTTTTGAAAGAGCTGAAGACCATAGCAAGTTAAATTTTCCTAGGTGCTTTCTCTGGGTTCTCAGACTAAGCCTTCCCTTGGGAAGGTAAAACAGAAAATGAAGGAACTGAGAAAACCTTGTGGCGAGGTGGAATGTACTAATGCTGGGTGTGCAGTGCCCCAAGTTATGATCAGACTGTTGGTTGGGGGTGGGGATCAATGGAGGGGACCAAGGGAGCAGGAAAATGAACAGATATCCAAGCAAAGGCAAAAGGAAATGTAGGTTATGGTCTTTGCTCTGTTAGGAATTGATAGTCAAATAGTCCTGTCTTCACCCAATCAGAACCGCTAGACAACAACAGAAGGGCTTCTCTGGCTTCCCTCTTGTAATGTCATGATTTAATGCATAAGTGAGGTGTGACCACTACCATGGTACCTGCCATACCAGTCTCGTGCTGTGCCTGCCAGCACCTCCTCCTGGACGTGGCCCGTTTCTGTGTCCCATTTACTTGTGCTTGATGCATTGCAGCTCTCCCTAAACATCGCCAGTGTACTAAGGGCACAGGCTCTCTGTTCTAGCATCTGGGGAGAGCTGGATTTACAATTATTTCGGTTTATGCTTGTCAGAGCTATATTAAAAAAACCCAACCAAACAAAAAAACCAAAACAAAACCAAAAAACCAAAACCCAAACCTTGCATTCTTCAGTAAATTCCTTTGGCTCCATCAAATAGTCTGACTGAATTTTCCTAGCACTCAGTAACGTGTATAACACCTTTTCTCTTCAACACAAACAGGACTATTGTAAGCAGGGAGAGGGTAAGAGACAATAATGATCTTTGCTTCTATTTTAAACCTTTTGGAGACAGTTATTGGCTGTAATCAAAAATGCTATGGCTATATACAACCTCAAAGTGGTTTTGCATTCAAAGATGCAACAATTTCATTTCTCTGTTAGGTTATGTGGTGCTTTGTAGTCATCTGAGAAATGTTGCATTATACGGAACTCATGGTTCAAAGGTGTAAACTTCCACCTCTGAACAAAACATTTCCTTCTGCTTATACTTGCTATCAAAGGAGTTAGTGTCAGTATTTCTGAAGGATGTAATCTAAAAGATCTGATTTCCCCATCTATGCAGGTTATTGTTGATGCTCAGCTCCTGATCTTTTCTTGATTTGATTTCTGTGCCCAAATAAAAGATTTGGTTTCAAATTTGTTGATCCAATTTGGAGAAGAAAATGGCTGTGTAATATTCCTATATGAAACAAATTTAAAGCTTTGTTGATGAGAAAGATGTAGTACAGATCTGTTAGAAAGCACTGGCACTCCAGAAAAGTAGAGAGAGCTGCCAGTGGAGAGAAGGCTTGTACAACCAACATCTTTACTGAACAAGCTTTATTATGAAATATTTACTTTAATTGAAAATACTAATTTACCACACATGCAAATAAGCTACAGCCTTTTAAAAGAAAACAGTTACTTTTCTTTTTAAAATAAAAAGAAACTGCTTTGATAGTAAGGAATCTTACCAGCAAAGTTGATTTAAAAATTATATTCATGAGCAGCATGAACATGCTGCAGTTAGTATGTACAAGGATTCCAGTACTTCAGCTTGCAGTGCTTTTTCAAGATGAGCTTCCATGGAAATCACTGGAAAGTGATCTTGACTAAGAACTGTAGTGCAATGCCCTGATAGTGTTTGGGTTTTTCCCTAAATTGACTTTGCTCACACATACGGGTTTTTTCCTCCTCATAAAATGAGAACAGATTTCCCCTCACCTGTCACTGAAAATGTAGATGTGGTTTATGTGAACTTTATAATAGAAGCTTTGATTAGTGCTCTTTGTCATAAATCTAGAGGTTTGTTGTTTTTTCCCACAGACTATTTACTTAGCTTGCATTTTTTCCATCAGCATCACCAAATTTCTGCAGCGGACATTTTCTGCTTTGGTAGTCTTTGTGTTGCGTGCACTGGTTCAGTTAACAGTACTTTATGTTCTACCATGCCAGCTTTGTCAGAGTTAGTCATTACCCTCCAAAAGACCAAGGTTCTTAACAGTGTATAGTTTACAGCTGGAATTGTAGAAATGTTCATATTGTAAATTACAGTAAGATGCAGGTTACAGTGAAGGTAAATTGTAATTTTTCACAAAGTGATGTTTCTATCAAAGGGTTTTTTTAATTTTTTTTATTTATCAGTAGAAAGGTTGGCATTTGTGTGGACCAATCTGCAGTGTCATCTGAAACCTATCTTTCAGCTTAAAATTTGCATGAGTATACATCAAATCATACATTTTGATGTATATTTATGTCAGTGAAATTTGGGTGAAAACTATATGCAGTCATTTTTGTATTTTTTTCTATGTTGTGAAGAACAAAATTGTAATTTTATAAGTCTGATTCACTAAGATTATTATAAGTTAAATGTATTTTTTGTATATTTAGGAATCTGGTATTACCTGGAGCTCTGAAAGATTAAAGCATAGACTTTTTATGCATGTTTGGAAGATATTTCTACTTGATAATGCAGTGAAATGGTTTGTATGCTAAACCACTAGTCTATGTTGTTGCCTTGTGAAATTGATTCTGTGCTCTCTGCCTGGATTTGGCCTACTGATTGGTGACACTAATTGCTATAATCAAAATAAAATAATTCTGAACAAAATATGTTGTATCGTTACTGTTTAAGCAACTAAAGCAGATACTTTATAAATGTGAATTAGGGCTGTATTTTTACTCATTTTTATATAATGTGTGCCTTGCAAGATTACAAGATTTTTTGGCCTACATAACTTTTGAGGTCAAGCAAAAGAATTAAGCAACGTGATACTATTACAGATGCTCTGCTTTACACTTTTAAAAGAGGTATTCATAACATGTTAACTGACTCTGTCAACATTCAAACTTAAAACTTCCTGAAGGATCCTCAATAGAATGCGAGCTCTTTGTTATCCTGTTTTTATCTGTACTCTAGATGGTGATGGTTTTCTACAAAACCAAAATTGTTTGAGTATTATAAATATAACAGAATGCTTAACTAATGCAATAGAATACTTCATTTACTAAATATAGTATGTCTGCTACCACAGCAACGTTTTTAGCATTTTTAACACTCTCTGAGAGAGATTTAAATACTGTGTCTAGGTGCCATTAATGCTCATAAATAACAAGTTACAGTCCTCTAATAGGATCTGAGTAGTAGTTGCAGAGTTATTCTAGGCATATGCTTGTCATAAGATTGCACAGCTACAGTGATTTTTTTGTTTGATTGCAGATGGGATGAAATAATGTAGCACATGTCCTACGCATGATAGCTGTGACTTAGCACTACTGTGTAATTAAAAACTTCTCTTTCAAATGTTACGCTGTGAAGAGTGATGCGGAGGTCTGTTTGTGCCTTAGAAGAACTGTTACTGGTTATTTGTGTTTCCTCTTTGCATTTTGAAAACAGTATGTGTGGAAACAATTTTAGTTACCTAGGGTAACATTAAAAGTCTGAAAAGCACAAGGATTCTGTGTTTGTAAGCAAATTAATTTCACAGTAGTATTTAAGGCTCATCTTAAATAAAGCATTGACAGTAAGATTTGAGGAAGGATCTGTGCTGGTGTGCTGAGTGTAAATTAAAAAGGTGTGAATATCAGTGTGATTCAGTTTCATTTGGTGTGGACTGAGCATTTCTAGAGTTGGGTTTGATTGATTCCAGCCTCCTGACTGCCTGGGATTTCCATTCAGTATCAAGTGGCTTTTAAATTCTGCTTCCATTCTCCTAACCAAGTACTCTTCCACACTTGTGTGAAGGCTTCTAATATTGTTATGAGAGAATTAATAAAGCTGCTGTGGTGGTTTCTGAAGGTTACCTTGAAGCAGTTGTAATTAAAAATGTGGATGGAAAGTTTAAAACTCTTCTAATACTGTTGTCTCCTGATTTCCAGAATAATACTTTCCTTTACAGATGTGAAAGATCCTAAAGACCTTTTTATGTCTTCACAAATTAGCTGGGCATTAGTATTGTCAGAGGTGTGTTGTCCTCTTTGATGTACTGACATTGAGAATGTGCTAATACTCGGGAAAGAGATGTTACTGTCATTATACCTTAATTTTTCTAGTGTTTTAAGTAGATGCATATTATTTCAGTCATCCACTATAAAAGCATAATTCACAATATTTAGAAACACTTCCATGTCTAGTTATGTTTGTACAAATTGTGTCACAACAAACTGCCTCTCTGTAGATTAAATTAATTCCATATAGTTTGTATATGTAGAAATTTTACATTACCTGGTACTACATGAGGATGTTGTTGTTGGGAAATTCATTAGTGGAAGTTTTTTCAGAGGCTTATTCAGCTGAATTGTGAACACTGAATTGCATTTTGTTATATTTTTTTGATTCCTGCTTCAGGCAGTCTGCACAATCTTCTGCAAACCATCTGTAGCTGTCGTTTAGGCACTGTTAAATATTGCAGTTACCATATATAAATATCACAAGTGTACATTAAAAGCTTTAATACTGACGTTTCCTTCTTTGAACGCTTGAACTTGCAGGATCTATTTGCTGTATAATCTACATTCAGCCTCTTGGGTGCTACAGTGGTAGTGTAGTGAGACTATAGTCTCACTAAAAACAATGAATGATAATCTGAAGGGAAAAAAATATATATAGGCATTTCAGGTATCTTCTTTAAAATTAGTTTTAAGTTGATGTCCATTTGAAGGTCAACCCTTTGTTTCTTCTGCATCTAGCATGCCTATAAAAAAAAAAAAGAGTTGTGGTGAGGATATAGGAAGTGGAGGGCCTTCCAGTCAGCCTAACGCTAGGTTCCTTTTATCAAATCATTTTGCCTTTTAGTTAAAGGTTTCTTCAGGTAAAATACAACCTCTGCACTTACTGGATAGGAAAAAGATACCGAGTGCTAGTCTTCTCTACTAAATGACAGTCAATAAAAAGATGAGATAGAAGAGGAAGAGACCTACTGGAGGATACAGAGCTACCTTTGTACTTCCCAAAGAATACTTGGGAGTTGACAAAACATGAAACTTCCTTCCTTTTGTCCTTTGGAATCCAGTAGATGGTTTTGGGGATTTTTTGGGGAGGGAAGAATTGTTTGGGTTTGGTTTGTTGGGGTTTTTTTGGTTTTTTTTTTAATTATTATTATTTAGCTGCATTCGTTTTTTGTTTTTTTGTTTGTTTGTTTTTTAAGGCAGAATAACAGCACTTAATGGAAATGCTGCAATATTTTGTCTGGTGTGCTGATGATGTGAAGTCCCTTTTATTCTCCACTAGGTGTTTATTCCAGGATTATGGGGAATTGACTTAGGTGCTCTGTTTTAGTCCTCTGTTCCTATGTATAAACTATTTCTGGGAAAGTTACTGGTTTGAGTATTAAATGTGTTTCCTTACTCAGATTTTTGGTGCAATTTTAAATTAAGTAAACAAAGCACTTCAGCTGTTCTGAAGTTATCGAACTGAAATGGTGGAGAAGGCTTTCTTGCATCAGTAAGAAAATGGATGTGAAATTGAGAGACAGACATTGCTGGTTAGTTTACTTAGTGAGACTAGAAATTAATAGTTGATACTGTCAAAGCCCTACCAGAAGCAGACTCTGCAATCTGAAGGTAATTGAATTATTCTTCAA